ACACACACTCGCTCTTCAATGGATGCATTGGGAGCAACTCAGGGTTCAGTATCCAGCACAAAGATACTTCAGCATGTGGATTGGAGGAGTCGAGGACTGGTCCGCTGACTTTCTGATCGGTAAATAAGTTGCTGTACCAAGCCAAAAAATGCATATTTACTGTTTTATATACTGCATAATTGGTGAACTATTGGCTCCAGAGACAGTGACAGAAGTCATTTGTACCTTACAAATAACAAAAAACCCATAGATTATTTGACTAACAACACCAATCCAACATACTTTTTTATCTTCGGGCCACAGTTACATTCATTAAAAACCAGAAAAAAAGACAACATATAAATTTCCCCTAGTGGGACTAATAAAGGTATATCAAATCAAATCAAATATAGAGTTTGTGGCTGGAGTAAGTGGGGAACTTGATCCCCCAACATTCCAAATGGTGGACAACTCACTCTATCTCATGAGTCACAGCCATCACCAAAGTCTAACATGTTTGCCTAATCCTAGCAAATCAATCCACACCCCTAACCTAAATTACCTAAGATTAGAGAATTAGAGCATGCGATAAGTTTGTGCCGGAGAATTTCATCTTTTATCTCTCAAACAAATGTACTGAATATGATACAAAAACACATGTTCTTGCTTTGGCTACATGGTAGGTTGGTAGACCTTTTTTCCTTTTAAAATATGTTTTGGTCAGAAAGTCAAGAAAGTTACTTTCAGACACTACGAGAACTAGTGAACTACTCATTTGGAGGCTCAGACAGCAGGGAGCATGTTCACGTGTCACTGCAGAGTTAATCTTACCTGCCAGGCGAAGTGACCCCGAGTTGTAGATGGCGTCATCTCGGAGTTCCCTCACGTGTACGGTAACAGTGGAGACGGCATCTGGCCAAATTCCATCTGACACACGAACCTGGAACTGGTAGGTGCCCGGTGGGGCGTTCTCTTTGATGATCAGGAAACCAGTTCGCTTGTTCAGAATAAAGTAACTGATGGAAAGAAATAAAACACAAGCACCCAAATCAGAAAA